TGTTTTCCCCTTACAAATAGTAGGTATTTATAGTAGTGCCCACAATGTAGTACACAAAAATAAGGAAGACACACCACTTGTCCCAAAGAGCTTATAATGTGATCTTTCCAGTTATCCTCTGAATTTTGAGGTCATGCAACCTTTGATTGAAGGAGCAAGCATTTTTAATATTTAAAAGATATTTTTGCCTGTAATTCCCAGGTTAAATAGGAAATGAAAAAGATTTAAACAGCCTGAATAAAAATAATTTCCCCCTCAATCAGGTTTCACTTGTGTCTAATGTCAAGTTTACTAGTTTCTTTAGCTGTCCATGGAGCTTCAGGGAAAAAAACAAACCTAGATAGACTAGATCTGAATTTCTAATGCAAAGCAAAAGATAAAAATAGAGGTCCTTGTATACTTTACAGTGGGGTAGTCAACAGGTGGACTGCAGGCCAAATCCGGACCGTCAGACGCTTTTCAAGGGACCGCGAAATCTTTTTATTTATTTATGCTTACATCCCTTGTTGCTCCTTTTGAAAGCCCAAGCTGTCACCATGGGGCGATGTAAGTGCTACAGATGATGTAAGCGCGGGTCTGACAACCTGGACCCGGTCACCCGAGGCAGGGCTGACAGCAGAGCATGGTATAAACCCTAGCATGGGTATAAACAGCAATATAACCACTGAGGCACTGTTTAGGCAAGTATAGCATAGACACGCCTGAAGGGTTGGGGATGTGCGTGAGTACATATCCTACATGGCTCTCTACTTGCCCAAGCCTACATGGCTCTCTCCCATCTATCACTGATATTTTTAGCAGATAGTGGAATGCCCCCATAATCTTTGTAAACGTCGTGGAACAGGATTTTAGGATTAAATGAAGACATCTAAAACTATATACTGAGTATCATGGCTAAGAAACTGACAATTTATAGTTTTCCTTAGGCAAATATTCTATACACTAAGTGTACAGAGCATTCTTTTTCTCACATTTACTAGCAGTAGTTTTCATTCTCTCTCATGAGAGAACCAACACCATTCTTTCACCAAATATACGCAAGATGCTGTGAAATCCTACAATATTTGTTTTCAGCTTTGCAGAATCAAGATGACAAAACCTCAACTACTTGTGGTTCAGAAGCCAGGAGAGTAAGTACATACTTGACAATCTAGTTTAGAATCTTGACACACAGATGAGTCCCCTATATTTGGAAATTGGTCTTACTTTTTCAGAATCAAATAATCAATATAGACCATATAGCTTATCTGTTCTCCCAGTGACAACTTTGCTTCACAAACTGTGGTAAAACTACAACAACTTTATTGGATGGAGAAAATGTATGTTTATTACACATTAACCAATACAATGCATGCACAGTAAACTAGTAAGTAAAACAACAAAAAATAAATACATCAACATACAAAATTTAAGCAATGTAATATTCAACATTTTGTCATTATAAATACTTTAGATCTTATGTTACATAGGGAAATCGGTATTAACGAAACAGATAACTTTGAATCTAAATAAGCCGTAAATACATTTCACATCCGAGCAATAGTGACAGAGACTTTGTCAACAGCAACTACAGTCCCATCATTATTGAGCCATCAGTTCCAATAGCTCCTTTTCAGTAATCTACAGAAAAAATTAGAGTTAACTGAAGATAGATGAGTTGGAATCATCCAGCAAAGCTCTATTCTGTAGAAACCATGATGTTCAACCTCAAGGGTGAAGCTTATAAGAGCAGGCAACAGCTTTTTTGGCACCAGGACCAAAGCTATGGAACTCATTAAAGGAGAAGATAAAAATGCCCACAATGCTCACTGCCTTCAAAATGAAAAGTAAAACATATTTCTTTGATTTAGCTTTCTCACAGCTACAAGTAAAAACAGTAAAGAATGAGAAAAGGAGGAAGAGAAATAAATCTGCTAAGAGACAACCCCAGGAGTCCTGGGAAAAAACAGAGGATAGTTAGATCACTGGCCTAACGTGATTTTTGTTCTCCCGGACACATTCAGATACTAAGGTGACAGATGACAATTTAAGATGATATCTCTTTCCAACAGTCTAAGAATCAGACATAGCAACTCTTTTCAGACAGGAAACACTGCCTTCAGAAAGCCATTTCAAATTATAGGATGTAGCAAGTGCAACAGGGAATGGCCAAATTGACTTTCCCGAAAGCAGAAAAACTATAAAGAAAAGTGTAAACAGAAAGACAACACAGAACAATGTCATTTCTTCTGACTCTGCAGTGACAGATTCAGTAATTTCATTTTTAACAACATTTTCTGTGGAAGAATTGCCCAGTTCCAACTGACTAAAATGTTGAGCTATAATTTTTTTTAAATAAATAAGTATTATCACAATGGGGTCCAGGTCCACAGTTAGGGCTCCTACATGCTTCAATAATGCAAATAAAGAAGAAGAATAGTGCCACTGCCTACAATATTAGCACTCATACCTCCTTTCAAGAGTAGCCACTATCAGTTACAAACACATGATTTAATATGCAGTCAATGAGTATCTCAGTGTTTGGCAAGAAGTATGGCTAGCCTTGCCCTACACTGAAGTCAATGTCCACTTCAACAAATGTATTTTGGCAAAAATGAAACAGTTATTACAAAATACATGTGGGTTTTACCAGGCACAGACTGTGCCTTTTGCATTTGACCAGTACCTAACCATTTTGGGCACTAACGGGTACAACTAATAAAAACCACCACCACTGTGGCAAACAGTAAGTCTGCCATATCAATTATACAGGAGCCTGTCAAAATTTGTAAGACAATTTCCATGCAAAAAAAAGCAAACATCATTCTGGGATGTATTAGCAGGAGTGTTGTAAGCAAGACATGAGAAATAATGCTTCCGCTCTACTCTGCACTGATTAGACCTCAACTGGAGTATTGTGTTCAGTTCTGGGTGCCACATTTCAGGAAGGATGTGGACAAATTGAACAGACTCCAGAGAAGAGCAACAAAAATGATTAAAGGTCTAGAAAACATGACCTATGAGGGAAGATTGAAAAAATTGGGTGTGTTTAGTCTGGAAAAGAAAAGACTGAGAGGGGTCATGATAACAGTTTTCAAGTATGTAAAAGGTTGCTATAAGGAGGAGGGGGAAAAATATTTCTCTTATCCTTGGAGGATAGGACAAGGAGCTTAAATTGCAGCAAGGGAGGTATAGGTTGGACATTAGGAAAAACTTCCTCACTGTCAGAGTGGTTAAGCACTGGAATAAGTTGCGTAGGGAGGCTGTAGAATCTCCATCATGAGATTTCCACAAGAGCAGGTTAGACAAACACCTGGCAAGAATGGTCTACTCTAGATAATACTTAGTCCTGCCATGAATGCAGGGGACTGGACTAGATGACCTCTTAAGATCCCTTCCAGTCCTAGGATTCTACCTTCATACTGTATTAAAAAGGAAAAATATCAGTCTTCACTAAACCTGCATGCAGTATAGTTATAGCCAGATTGGTTTCAGGATTATAGAGAGACAAGGTGGGTGAGGTAGTATTTTCACTAAACCTGGACAGTCAGGGGATTGTCAGTGGAATGAAGCCTTACCCTCTCCAGAATTTGGTTACTATTTTGTCTGGAACAGATTTGAACCAACAACATACATCAACCAACCCTAGATGCTTCAACATCTAGTGTCTTAGCTGGAGTGAATGGATAGTCTGTCCAGCTCACACTGGCAGCCACATCAATTTGCAGCCTGAGTGTATTAACACTGAGTGGGAATGTCAACCAAGGAAGCTTGCCATGGCACCCACGAAGAGCCTTCAAATCAGGTTTAATACAGTGGTGGGACAAAATAGGGAAGAGTACTGCCAGTGAATAGCCTGTACTGTACTTGGAGAACTTTTTAGTCTGTAGGGTTGTCAGGCAGGCTCCTTCAGCAAGCACCAGGTTAAATTCATGGGGGATGGCGAAGAACAGGGCAGAGAGAAAACAAAGATCTTTTCTGTGTGCCATGTAAGCCTTTTGCTTAAAAACACTACATTCAATTTGACAGGTCTCCAAGTTGAAGGAGTCTTGATTTCATAGTCACACACCTGGGCAGACGCTGCCACTTTCTAGTAAAATGGCTGCTACCAGGAGTGAACTTGTCCTCTATTTCGATTAGAAAGTTGATATTCAGCCAGCACATTTCACAGCCCACCCATGGGGGTAGCTTTTTCCTCTGTGATGAAGGAGACAAAAGGCGAGGCGGGGGCAGCTTTAGCCTGACACCTCCCCACACACACCCCGCCGGGGAAAGTGGTTGGCGCGGCCTTTAATCCTGTCACTTGAAAGGTGGTGTTAGACAAGCCTCTCCGCCGAGGAGGAGTACGAGGCCCATACAGCTCGGGTCGGGAGCGCCCCTAGGGCCGGCCTGTAGCTAGACAGCTCCCTACCGAGCGGCGGGACCGAGGCGGGGCCCAGCCTCCTTCTCCGCCCGAGCGGCCGCGGTCAAACCCGCACGGGACGCTCGGCCCACACAAAATGGCTGCTGCAGCCGCCTGTGCGCTAACGGGGAAGAGGAGACCCGGGCGCTACCGCCCCCCGCCTAACGAGCCAGACCCGCTCCCAACCTCCGCCCTCCCCAGCGGCCCCTGGGGGCTCCCGCCCGGCGGCAACCGGGAAGCTCAGCCGCCCCCTCAGGCGGGCAGAGGCGCTAAAGCCACCGGCGCAGGAGCCGCCCCCCATCCCCACTCCCGGGCGGGCGGAGCGGGCCCCGGGGCGCGGCCGGGATCCGGGGAGGGGAGACACAAGCTTTTCCTGTGAGGTGAAAGGTCAGGAGGGCGCGGAGCCGCCACCCGGGGACGCCAGGACGGAGCCGCCCGCCCCAGGACAGACACACAGGGGGCCACTTCCCCGGCTCCTCCGGGTCACGGCGCGGGACGAGGGGCGAGAGCCGCCCCCAGGCAGTGCAGTGCCGCGCCGCGCCCCTCTGCCAGGCCTCGCGTGAGCCGCTGCCGAGCCCGGGGGAGGAAAGCGGCTGCAGGCCACCCCGGCCGCTCTCACCTGGCGGGCCCAGCTCCCGGCGGCCTCTCCTGGGGGGTTATTTGTCGGTGGCGGCTCCGGCTCCGGGAGGTCAGAGTTCGTGACCCCGCCCCTCCGCTCCGCGCGGCGCTCCGCCCTCCTCGCGCCTGTCCCCGACCCGCGCCTGCGCACACAGCGAGCCCGCCGGGAGGGGTGCGTGAGGAGGGCGCAGCTCGCGGACGGCGAGGGGAGGGAGCGGGAAGAGGCCAGAGCGGGCGGCGCGAGGACTCCAATGGAAGGGGCGAGGCCCCCGGAGCCACGTGCGGTCGTTGGGCGGGGCCTTTCCCCCACACGTGTGGTTCTACAGCCGGTGGGGAAACCACGTGAACACGGGGCGCGGCTCTGGCGCCCGGAGCGTCGCTTGCTTTGGGGAACCGCTGCACAGAGCAGTGACCAGGCGGCCCCGCACAGCGCCGCACCGGTGCTCTGGTGGGCATTAGTCAGTACCCGCCTGCGACCTGCAGGGGTCTAAGGTTGTCAGGTGTCTAGTTGTTGACCAGAATAACCAATCAAAAAGGGACCCCAGCGGCTCTGGTCAGCACCTTCTGCACCCTGAACTCCGCATTTCTGGCCCTGCTCCAGAGGCCTTACCCACTCCCCTTGCACCCCCCCCCCAAAAAAACCTGTACTGTATGACACACCCAGTGCTGGGTTTACAGTGGTGCCATGGAGCCAGGACCATGCTCAGAAGGGGCCCCAGCCTGCTCTTCCTGCACTGTGCCCTGAGACCTCACTGGCTCCCCACCCCGCTCTTCTTGGCCTGCCCACTGGCCAGCCGAGGGCTCCTCTCTAGCCCTGGTTCCACCTGCCAGCTTCTCTCTGCCTCCTGGTCTGATCCCACTACACCTCTGGCTTTGGGCAGTCTCTATTTCCCACCACCTGTGAGGCCCCACCTGTCTCCCCGGAATTAGCTGCCTGGGACCGATGCAGAAGCCGGGCCAGTCTCAGCCAATGCGGTGGGGGGGGACAGTGTGGGGGGCCTGGCTGGGCTCCTCCAGGCAAGTGGATCCTGAGGGAGCCCGGGCAGGGCAGGCCCTGGCCTGGCTGATCATGTGACTGCTGAGGGGCCCAAGTGATTACCCACCCTGGGGCCAGTCCTGGGGACCAGATCACCAAAGGGCCGGTGAGTGTGGCCAGTAGGCAGGGCATGGGGGAGTGGGTCTCTGGTGGGCCTGAGGGGGGTGTTTGGCTGTGAGGGGGCGGGGAAGATCTATGTGATGGGGAACTAGGGAGTGAGGGTTCTGTGCGGGGTGCTGGGCAGTTGTGGTGGGGTCGGGGGGGGGGGTTTGGCCATAGAGAATTGGGGGTGACGGGGTGTTCTGGTGTTGGGCGCGGGGGGGAGGATGTGTAGCACAGGATGAGCCCACCCCTGAGGGGAAGAAGCATGCTGGCACCACAGGGCTGGGCGGGCCATCATGGATCTGGCAACTACTGGTTTGTAAATAGTGCCCTTGCACTGGGCTGGGCGGAGCGGGGCCGCCCCTGACATGCCATGTCCCTGGCCAGCTCCTTGCTCTGGGGACTGACCTCCCGTCCCCGTGCCATGCTCCATTGCCCCCATGGGAGCCCCAAAATATGCTTGGCGCTGGGCCCACAAAAAATTAATCCAGCCCTTCTCACACCGTACAACACTCCAGGTTCACTCCCAGGCATCTTCCCAGCAATTACTTCCCTCTCCCTCAGCGCCTCTGTTACCCAACTCTCCCAAGCCTTTGCGCTGTTTTGAGGGGTGTGGGAAATACATTTCAGTATTGTAGTTTAAATGAATTATTACTCAGAGTTCTGTATTAATACACCTAGTAAGAAATCTATTTGTTAAAAAACATTTCCTGAATCTTTTTTGTTGTTTGTATTGTTACAGACATACTGGCTGACAGGTATTTTGAAATAAATTAGCCAAATAAATGAAACTGGCATGATTATATTGTGTTGTTTTGACAAATAAAATGTGCAGAATTTTAAAATAGTGTGTGCAGAATTCCCTCAGGAGTAGCATATGTACTCAGCCCACAGCCCCCAATCCAAGGTAAAAAAACACCTTCTGCCACGTG